GGATTCAAAAAGCTAGAGCTGCCCCCCTTAGGGTCTGAACCCCAGAAATGGGCCCATGTACCCCCAAAATGCAAACCAAGGGGAGCTTGAAGATTGAACTAAATCAAAGTTCCAGGACTGGGCTCTTTGTCCCTGTTCCTCTTCCCCCTTCCCAGGTGAAAGAACTAAAGGAAAAGAAACAGAACTAAAACAATAGAATGAAAAGAAATAGAATGAAAAGAAATAGAATGAAAAGAAATAGAATGAAAAGAAATAGAATGAAAAGAAATAGAATGAAAAGAAATAGAATGAAAAGAAATAGAATGAAGTGACATAGAGAAATTAAAATAAATGTAAGTTAAAAAAATGTAAATAGGACTAAAACAACTAAAGAATAAAGCTAAAAGTGGAGAGCTTCAAACCCCAGAACTACAGAAGCCTGTCTGGGAGGTGCAGTGAATGTGGAGGTAGGTGCTGGTCCCTGATCCCCGGGGCTGCACTTGCCTGCTGGAGGAACACGACCTGCTGGGCTGGCTGGGCCATCACCTGCTGTCCCCACGCCTGGCTGGGCCCCATGCCCAGTGTCCCCCCGGGGCCCTGGAGGCTGGAGAAGGGCCCGGGGTGCTGCGGGAAGGGCTGGATGTTTCCCTTCTGGCGGGGGTGGCTGGCGGGGGGCTGCAGCCCCCGGCCATCAGCGGGGCAGAGCTGCAGGGTGCTGCTCAGAGCCACCTGGGGCTGGAACCTGCCCAGGTCCTGCTTGGCCTCGGCCTCCAGCAGCTGCTCGGTGATGCCCGCTGCCCACAGGCACTGCTGGAGCAGGTCGCAGGGTGGCCCCACCACGGCGGCCCCGCTGCCCCACTGCCACGCCAGGCTGGCATCCTGTGGCACTGCCAGGCCCGTGCCGGCCGTGGGCTGGCTCAGCTCTGCGCTCAGGAGGCTGCCGGAGGATTCCCAGAGCTGGGAAATAGATGAAAAACACGCTGAGGACGTTGAAAAACAACGGGAGAGAAAGGAAAGGCTCCCCAAGGAGAAATTAAAAAAAGACCTACCCCAGCACCTTCAAAAAAGGAACTGGCTGCATCCTTTGTGCTGTCCAGGACGGCACCACTGTCAGTCTGGAATTACAAACATTGGATTTACTTTGTTTAGACACACAATGAAAAAAAGAATGGGGGACAAAAAGAGGGTGCAGTGGTGAGGGGCAGCCCCAGAAAGCACCGAGCTCTTCCCAGCAGTGGGGCAGTGGCTCTCCCTGTTCCCAGTTTTGTCTCAAAACACCACAAAATCCCAGATGGCTGCACAGCTTAAGTGGTGGCAGAAGCTCAAAACCAAAAAGATCCTGACCTTGGGAGAAGTTTGATGTAAAAAACCCTCATTTTTTTACGAAAAAAACAGGATGTTTGTGTTTTGGAGAGGTAGTTGAGTTGTCACCTTTCTGGATCCAGGCAAAAAGCGGTTCACGACCTGAGGATCACTGCAAAAATACAGGAAAAGGTTTAGGAGACAGCACCAGCACCTAACTAACAAATTATTGCTAGTAAATGTTATAACTAATGATGGACACCCATTTGTGGCTCAATAATGATGCTTTATGACCGAGAGGAGAATCCCTGCTGGGGATCCAAGGGGGATGGAATCCCCTTTCTCATCCCAAAACCATGGGACTTACCAAAACACATCTGACAGGCCCCAGCTGTTTTCATCATCTGTATCAACTGCAAAGAACAGAGAGAGAAGGTTGTGTTGGGAGAGCAGGGGGATGATGATGATGATGATGGTGGTGACCAGAGCAGAGGACACCTGAAGAGGAGGCTCTACTACTCCAAGGGGTGTCAAACCCCTAACAGGAACCTTGCAAAGTTCCAGGGGGGTTCCTGATCCACCCACCTGATGGATTTCACTCCCAGTTCTCCCAACCAGAGCTCAGGTTTCACCCTGAAACCCAAACCAGCAGGCTTTTGGCTCATTTTCACCTCACCACAGGGGCCTGCTGACCCTCGCTGGGACAATCCCAGTTCCTCAATGCCAGGAGCACCTGGAGCCAGATCCTGTCATGGCTTGGCAGGAACTCATCTTTAACACAACTTATTTATGCACTTTTATCCCTAAAATTCCACTGAGCAAAGTGGATTTGGAAGGAATTGAGGATTTTCTGACAATAACCCACGATCAGCCACAGGCTGCCTCCTCCCAAACCCCTGTGGATGAGCACATCTGGGAAACTCTGTGATTTTGGGGTTGGTTTTGGATGTTTTCCCTCATTTCCTCAGATCTGGGCAGGATCTGGAGGTGTGGCAGTACAAAACCACTAATAAAAATCAAGGGAAAAAATTACCTCCAGTCCGCTACCTCGATAAACTCTAAAGATAAAAATATCTTCAACTCTCAAAAACCAAAAATGATATATAGGAAGATTTTCCTCCTTGGCTTTCTCCAGTTGGGGGGGTGTATGTGGAGTAAGATGTTTTTCAGCTCCCTGGATGTCTGCAATAGTGCTTGAGGAGCGAATTAAAGCCGGTGATTACAGCAATGAGGGACAGCAGCCCCCACAAGAAGACCCTGAGGGGTGCTCTGTGGGGGTGCAGGAATCACCATCAGGCAGCACGAGGCCAAAATGCCCTTAAAATCAGACTCAAAGTATTCCCCATTATTTTTGGTGGTTCCAAAGCAGCGCAGTTCCCACTGATTAAGGAGCAGGAGTGACGGCCAGAGTCCGAAAATTATCTTTACAATAAGCCCCTAAAGGGGTTGGAATTTTCCCCGTAAATATGGATATTTGACATTCCTTAAATAAAAGTGCTCACTTGGACCTGGAGGGATCAGGGAGAATAAGATGCTCCACGGGCGGCACCTGGCCATGTCTGAGGGCAGAATTCCCTTGCTGGCACCAGGTTATTCCCAAGGGCCACGTCACTGGGGACTGGGTGTGACTGAGGGCCACCTGGAATTGTTGGCAACCAGTCTTGTGACCGAGGCCAACGTTCTTTGTTGGTGTTTGGGGGCCACCTTCTGTTGCCATGGGAGAGGAGCGGGAAGGGTTCTGTGAGCCCTGGCTGTGATGTCACGACAGTGTCGCTGATAAAATGTGTTCAAAGTCCATCAAAAGCTGAAGTACAAGAGACACGATGTACGTTCCCTGTTGCTGAGGCAGAACAAAACCAAAAGACACCAATAATACCCCATAGGGTGATGAAATGCTGCCCCAAACGGCCCCTTCTCACCCCTTTCTAACCCAAAGAATGGGTTTGGGTTGGTTTGAGTCAAAACAGTAACCCCCTGGTCCACCAGGGAGCATCCCTCATCCAGCAGCTTCCCTGTAGGGAGTCCAGTGTCCTTCCTCCTCTTCCAGGACCCAGGATTCACCAGCTTTTAATTCATTTTTACCCCTAAAATTGCACTTGATCCTTACAAATGAGTCTTCTTTTGGCTCTTAAAAGTGGGACTTTATACCCTGGATATTAGTTCTCTGCACCTTCAAAATGAGGCTTTGGACACGAAGAACTTGAGGCTTTGAGGAGTTTACACCCTAAAATGATGCTTTGGACCCCAACACGTTCTCCTGGGAGGTGGGTTTCAAAGTGTCCTGGTGTCCATGACTTCCAGCTGCCAGAGGGCTGGGCTGTGGTGGCCGCAGGGCCAACAACATGCGTGGCCCTGAGGGGAAAACATGCAGGACCTGTGACTGGTGATTGTGACCTCACCTGCCTCCTTGGCGTCCTGAGGAGTGGGCCAGCAAAAGCTAGTTGGACCTGAGCTGGCCACTGGGATAACTTGGCTCCTTCCATTGCTACTTGCATGCTTGCCTGTTTCCAAGCATTTTTCGTCCTTGGCAGCAGCTAGAAACACCAGCTTTTGACAGCTGGAGGTGCTTTGTGGGTCACATTTGGGTTTTTTTTAAATAATTTTGCTGAGCTACAATTACTTCCTTTCCCAAGAGATGATTGGAACTGATCTGATCTTTCTGGAAGAGGTCCTGACATCCTCTGTCATCCCAAGCTTTTCCCTCTGTACCTGAGGGGGCGATGGCCTCAAGAGGGAACAACTTCTTTGAGTGATGGTTTCCCCAGCAGGCTTGGACTTTGTGGATGCCCTCGGACAACGGACATGGCTGTGGTTCCATCCCCACTGAGAACCTGGAGTGAATTCTGAGGCGCTTCCTGAGAGCAGCCAGACTGATCCAGGCGTCGCTTGTTTTCATCATATTACAGTCAGGAAAAGGTAAAATCTGATAATCCAAGGCTCTAGAGGGACAGGAAGGTAGTTTGTGGCCCAGAAATCAGTTTGCTGGACTTTTAGCACACTAAGCAGGGGAACAGACTTTCCAGAACTGTTTTCCAGAACTGTTTCCCTACCAGCTGATGTCAACAGGGTGTTAGGCTCCCCCTGATGTTTTTGGGTTGGTGGTTAGAGCTGTTGGCCTTGGTGTCCTGTAGAGAACTCAGCATTTGAATATGTTTTTGAGCAACAATATTCACACACAGAATCACTGAATTAATTAGGTTAGAAAAGACCTCTGAGGTCATTGAGTCCAGCCTTTGACTGACACCACCTTGTCACCCAGACCATGGTACTGATGCCACATCCAGGCTTCTCTCAAACACCTCCAAGGATGGTGGCTCCACCACCTCCCTGGGCAGCCCATTCCAATATATAACCACTCCTTCTGTGAAGAAATTCCTTCTGATGTCCAACATGAACCTCCCTGGGACATCTTAAGGCTATGTCCTCTTGTCCTATTGGTGATTGCCTGGGAAAACAGGCCAACCCCCACCTGGCTACAACCTCCTTTCAGGTGGTTGTAGAGAGTGACAAGGTCACCCCTGAGCTTCCTTTTCTCCAGGGTAAACAACCCCAACTCCCTCAGCTGCTCCTCATAGGACTTACCCTCTAGACCCTTCCCTAGCTTCGTTGCCCTTCTCTGGAGACTCTCCAGTCCCTCAATGTCTTTCCTGATTGAGGGGCCCAGAACTGGACACAGCACTCGAGGTGCCAAGTACAGAGGGGCAATCACTTCCCTGGCCATGCTGGCCACACTGTTCCTCATACAGGTCAAGGTGCCATTGGCCTTCTTGGCCACCTGGGCACACACTGGCTCAGGTTTAGATGCTGTCGACCAGCACCCCCAGGTCCTTCTCCACTGAGCCCATTTCCAACCACTCTGCCCCTGGAGTGGTTGGAAACCCAGACTAGAGCACTGCATGGGGTTGTTTTGGCTGAAGTGTAGGACCTGGCACTTGGTCTTGTTGAACCTCATGCTGTTGGTCTCATCCCAGCCTGTCCAGATCCCTCTGCAGATCCTTCCTGTGAGCAGATCGACACTCACACCCAACCTGGTGTTGTCCATGAACTTACTGAGGGTATACTTGATACCCTCATCCAGATCATCAATAAAGATATTAAACAGGACTGGGCCCAACACTGATCCCTGAGGGACACCACCAATGACCAGATGCCTTCCAAATGTAGCCCCATTCCCCATGGCCTGGCCATCACCCAGGGCAGAGTGCACCTCTTACCTCTTGTCTCACCTCTTTTCAAATGTCGTTCCCCTGCAGTCATTGCCAAGGAAATGACTCCACCAGAACGGATCCTCTTTCCCCCAGAGGACATCTGCATGGACTGGCTGCACACGCGGAGACCTGGGCCGGGGCTCCGCAACCGGGGCAGCACCTGCTACGTCAACGTCATCCTGCAGTGCCTGACCTACACCCCCCCTCTGGCTAATTACCTGCTCTCTCGTCAGCACAGCCAGTCCTGTGAGTACCTTCAGGAGTGTCTCCTTGTAAATCCCAAGAATTCCCAGAACCTGGAATTGGATTTACGAGAAAGAGCAGCGGCTCTTCTTTGTCAGCTTGTGTTCCTTGAGGGCTCAAACTAAAAGCTGCTTGTCAAAGAATTACAGAATCAACTGGGTTGGAAAAGACCTCTGAGATCATCAAGTCCAACCCTTGATCCAACCCCGCTGTGGTTCCCAGCCCATGGCACTGATGCCACATCCAGTCTCAGCTTAAACACCTCCAGGGATGGGGACTCCACCCCTTCCCTGGGCAGCCCATTCCAATGGCTGAGCATTCTCTCTGGAAAAAATTTCTTCCTAATGTCCAACCTAAACCTCCCCTGGCACAGCTCAAGGCCCTCATGTCCTACTGCTGGTTCCTGGGAGAAGAGCCCGACCCCCCCCTGGCTCCCCCCTCCTGTCAGGGAGTTGCAGAGTCAGGAGGTCTCCCCTGAGCCTCCTCTTCTCCAGGCTGAGCCCCCCCAGCTCCCTCAGCCTCTCCTCACAGCACTTGTGCTCCAGACCCTTCCCCAGCCTCGTTGCTCTTCTCTGGACCTGCTCCAGCCCCTCCATGTCCTTCCTGAGCTGAGGGGCCAGAGCTGGACACAGCACTCCACCGGTGGCCTCACCAGTGCTGAGTCCAGGGCAAGAATCACTTCCCTGCTCCTGCTGCCACACTCCTCCTGATCCAGGCCAGGATCCATTGGCTTTCTTGGTCACCTGGGCACACTGCTGGCTCATTGTCCTATCAAGGTGCTTTCATGTTCAGAAAAGCACCTCTTTTGAGCCCTGGGTCTCTGTCCCACCTTGTTAAACCCTCTTCCCTTATTGCACTTCAGCCTCCCTCTGAAGAGCATTTTCTGTGCACTTAAACGTCCTGGGCTTCTCAGGACATTGGCACCCTGAGAGAAGAGGAGTAGAGAGTCCTTAGAACTTCAAGACCTCCATAAGGTTTTCCACCACTTGGGATTGTTTTGCTAACCCAAGAAACTTCCCTCCCTCCCCAGGTGATCAGGAAGACTTCTGCATGATGTGCATCATGGAAGACCACGTTCGGAAGATCATGTATTCCTTGGCCAACGCTGTCCTGCCTAGGGCTGTCCTCAAGAGCCTCAGATGTAAGCAACTTCAGGTGCTTTGACAGGCTTTGTCCCCTTCTTGCAGGGTGGAACTACTAACTTCTTTCTTAGTCATAGGAGAATTTAAGCCTGACGTAGCAGGAGATGCCTACGAGTTCTTCTGCTGTGCTCTCCATGCCATGCAGGATGCTTGTCTGCCTGGAAGCACAGTGTAAGCACAAGAAAATTCCCTTTTCTGTGTTCCTGAACCTGTTGAACTCCTTGAAGTGCTCCTATCAAGGAAAACTTAAACCCAGGGGTTTCAAATCTAAACTGCTGGGGGAGGTAACTCTGCCTTGCCATTTATTTCCAGCTTGGACGTCTCTTCTCAGACAACTACCCTCATCTACCAAATATTTGGGGGCTTTCTGAGATCCAGAGGTATGTTTCCACAACTATTGCTCTCCTTGGCCCTTTCTGTGCCCTTCTGTCTGCCTGTGACAAGCAGCTGGTCCTGTGACTGGTGCAGGAAGTCCCACAGGCAGAAACCATCACCACCAATTAACTTCACCCAGCATTTTGATTTTCCTTCCAGTCACGTGCTTGAGATGCCAAGCAGTTTCTGATTCCTACAAGGCCTTCCTGGAAGTCCTTTTGAAAATCAAAGTAAGAGGGTTTGCAATTATGCTTCGAGGGGTCTGGAGGTCCCTGTTGTAGCTTTCCAGAACCAAAGCATTTGTCTTAAAAACCTCTATTGCAAGTACAAGGGAGCTTGGTGGTGGGTGGGAAGGGGAATGAACAGTGTCCTCCTGCAGAGGCCGTGGCACTGCTCACCTATGGTGCTGGCTCTAAGCTGAACCAGCAGCGTTATGCCCTCTGCACCCTTGAGATACTCTCCTTCTCCCTCCTTTGCCCTCCCTCAGCACCTGTCTGGCTGCCAGGCTCAGGGGTTGGATCAGTTTTCACTGCTGGTGCCCTTGCACACCATCAGTAGCTGAACTGAGCAGTGGCACAGAGAGGGAGCTCTTGATGGCCCCAGGAACCCCTGGGACACAAAGGAAATGTTCAGCATCACACTTCCCTTTCTACCTCCTCCTGGACAGTGCTTGCAGACAGTGGGTCTGCTCAGCATCAACAGCCTGGGTCTTGGGTGAGGGCATTTCCTGCAGCTCAGCAGCTCCTTTCTCACTCACCCAGGCAGCCTCATCCCTCACCGCGATCCTGGAGAACTTTGTGAAACCCAAGCTGCTGAATGGGAAACAGTGCATGAGATGCAGCAAGTAAGATGATCTCTAACGATATTTTAACAGCAGATCCTGCAGGAGGGGTTGCATGTCATCAAGCAGAAACAGCTTCCCATAGAGGTTTAATGCACAATAATGAGACACAGCCTTTTTTAATATGGCCTTATAGCCTGGAATAGCCTTAAGGAAGTGCCAGGATGTGTGAAATGTTGTCTGGCCCTCCTGGGGTAAGATCAGGTGCATTTTGGCGCTTGGCTCTGTGCTTGGGTTCAAGGTACAGGAAGAAGATGATTGCCTCCAAGAAGATCACAATCCATCACGCGCCCCGGGTCCTCACGCTGTGCCTGGGAAGGGTTGATGTTCGGAGCAGCAGGAAAATCAGCGAGGTGTGTATGCAACCAGAGGGCAACTTCCTCTTCCTGGAGCAGGAGAATCCCCAAAGCAGTACCCTTTGTCACAAGCTGCTCCTGTTGGGCTTTCCGTGTTCCCTTCTGGGGAGAGGAGACTTCCTGTGGGAAGACCAGCCTGGACTCTGCTCTGGCAGAGCTGCTTTGGCAGGAGAACAGTTTCCTGCCACCCAAACCATTCCATGCTGGAGGCTATTTCAGCTAGCTCAGGGTCACTGCTGAGCTCTCTTGGTTTGTCTGTAGCTTGTGGAGTACCCTGAGTGCTTGGATCTTCAGCCATACATGTCTGAGGAAGCTGAAGAGCCCCTCCTTTACTCCTTGTACTCCGTCGTGGTGCACAGCGGTGAAACCTGCCTCGCCGGGCACTTCTTCTGCTACACAAAGGCAAGGAGCAACTTCCCTCCCGACAGGGAAAAATGTGTGCTGGGAAGACAAAGGTTCCCAGCAGTGCTACTGGCAGCCAAGGCTTTGGGGGAGTTTCTCCTTTGGGGCTGGGCTGGGTTTGTGTTGGTGCACCAACTGTTCCGCAGTTTTCTGCGGAGAAATGCTGCGGTTCCCCTCCAGACACGGGTGCCTTCCTTTGCAGGCCAGCGACGGGCTGTGGTACAAGATGGATGATGAGACTATGGATGACTGTGACATCCACACAGTTCTGGGCCAGCAAGCCTACCTGCTCTTCTACATCAGGTAAGAACCAGGGGCACACGAGTTCAGAATATGTTTCCTCTTCCTGGCTTTCCCGTTGGTCTTCTCCTCCTCCTGAGTGTTTCTGCCACAGGAGACAACTCCTCCCTGTGTCCTTCAGTGCTGTTAGTTCTGAAGTACCCCATGCCAGTCTTTCTCTTCCTTTGCTGGGCATTAGGCTGCTGCCCTGTGTAAGCTGCCCTGCCTGCTTTCTGAAGCTGGCTAATGCAGAGAAGAGGACTTAAGGGGCCTCCAGGAAAGATGGGGAGGGACATTTTATCAGAGAGTGTAGTGACAGGACAAGGGGTAACGATTTCAAAGTGAAAGAGGGAAGATTTAGATTAGATATAAGGAAGAAATTCTTCCCTGTGAGGGTGGGGAGGCCCTGTCACAGGTTGCCCAGAGAAGCTGTGGCTGCCCCATCCCTGCGAGTGTCCAAGGCCAGGTTGGACGGGGCTTGGAGCAACCTGGGCTAGTGGAAGGGGGGTAGAATGAGATGAGCTTTAGGGTCCCTCCCAACCCAAACCATTCTGGGATTCTGGGATTCTGTGAAATGGAGGCCTTAGGGGGTATAAAGACGAGGATTTGCTCTGGGGGTAGATCTGGGGGGGAGATCCCAGCTGAATTTCCCATGGGTGACCTTGGTGAAGCCGTAGAAACGGCTCCAAGGAAATTACTGAATCCCAGATGAGTCTGCAAGAAATGCCCTAAACAGAGATCACTCTTTTTATCTTCAGGTGCCCTGATTTGAACACAGAAGAAATGGCAGCTTCTTCATCAGCACCACCCTATGACCATTCCTTCCTCAGTCAGAGTGGGGGCAGCAGCAAGCAGGTGGATTCTGCAGGACCACAGGATCTGCCTGGGAGGATTAAGGTGACACACAGACAGAGGAATGATGCCAGGGAGAGGAACAGGAGCAGATCCCCACGGTGGGGCAATGTTCACTACAGCTGGTTCATGAACAGTGCCAACGATGACAGCTCAACGGGGAAGAGGAAGAGAACTCATCTTCCAGATTATGTTAATGCTTCCAGGGATGACACAGCTCCAGGACCCTCCAACAGGAGCTGCCAGTGGGCTCCTGCACACAGGTGTACCTGCTCAGGAACTGTTCCTGCTCAGGAACAATTCCTGCCAAGACAGAGAGAGCAGGGCAGATCCTTACAGATCCGGAGCTATGGTCTCCCCAGACGATCTCTGGAGGTCAGGGAATACCCTCAGGCAGAAAGGAGGAGGAGGAGCCAACAGGAACCATTTGTAACCAACAGGCAGAGAAGTCACAGCCAGAATTAAAACCCCTTGTTAGCCTTGCATGAATAATTTACAGCACGTTTCCTTCTCTCTAAGTTCTGGGGCAGTTGGTGGAAAGAGGCAGTGAGGGATGATTGTGTGATGGGATTTTGAAAGCTGTGAGCTTGCAGGAACCCACCTGGCAATCTCTTCTTTGTAAAAATGGAGCTCAAGTCACTCAAAGGGACATGGGCAGGACGAGCCAGCAGTGAGCAGGATTGGAGCAGGCTGGATGGCCGGGCCCCAGGGGTGCTGCTCAGTGGCACCAAGTCCAGTGCAGAGCCAGGAACAAGCACTGTCTCCCAGGAATCAGCACTGGGCCCCATCCTGTTTAATGTTTTCCATAACTAATGGTCTGGATGCTGGGGCAGATGACACCAAACTGGGAAGGGGGGTGCTGAGGCCAGGACTTTATGCTGTCATGCTTCCTCCACTCTGTTCTGCTCCCTGTCCTGCTTTTCCTCCTTGCAGTCCCTCTGTCCTGCTTCCTGCCCCCATTTTTTCTGTCTTTATTTCTCTGTCCTGCTGCTTGTACCATAAAGTGTAAGAACCCCGTTTTTTTCAGTTGCTTTCTAACACTAAGTGTTGGTAAAAAAAAGAGGAAGAGAGGATAAAAGACTTTCTTTTTTGAGATTAACATATTCCCATAGAGTGCCCACCTTTGTGTGGTGAAGGTTTCCTACTGAAACATGATTTTGCTGGGCTGGGAGGCTGTACTGGAGTAGCAGAGGGAAGAAGCAGAGTCTTTCAAAGTAATAAAGCTGCAGCAAAACTAACAGGAAAAGCTCATTTCTTGCTAAATACTGCCTGACAAAAGTGGTAGCAAGTAAAGGCATTAGTGGATGGTTTTTTCAAGCAGTATTCATACAGAGCTTTTGATATGGAATTCTGAGAAGGAAGACCTGAGTGCCTGTGCTTCAAGGCTGAGGGCTGCAAGCCAAACCATTACATTTATTGCACCCCGTGTCTCACCAGCACATCCCCATTCTTGTGGATGAAACCCCAGCTGGGAAACCAGGCTGGTGCTGGGAGAAAGGTGTCCTGCACTGGAATGCAGGTCTCTGCAGCTCCTCTCACAGCTCTGTGCATTCCACCCCGACAGAAACAGCCAAAACAGGCAAGAACTCACTGCTTTTTGGCAAAAATATATCTTTTATCCATTCACAAAACAATCCTCTTTCAATGTGCAGTATCCCTGGCACTGGTAACAGCGATACCCAAACGGTGTGGGCTGAGAGGAGTCCAGCAAAATCCAGTTGTCACATGAAGAGGCACAGTCAGCCAGAGAGCAGCTGGGGCACGTGGGCAGAGGTGAGGGCCCCGTGACCATGTGCCTGGACATCTGGGCGAGCTGGGCTGCAAAGACCACCGGGGATGGGCTGGAGCTCTCGGTGTTGGCTTGTCCCGGTGCTTCTCTGGTTCTCTGGGTCCTTCTGTACAAATGGGTTTCAGAAAAGACCACTCAGTGACATGAACTAGGGGGACAGTGGAAGGATCACCCCATGGAAATCTCAGCAGGGCTCTGCCAGCAGCTGCCTTGGCAAGCCAGCACACTCTAACTGCAAATAGTTCATTGCCAAGAGCAGCAGTGAATAACTCTGGGAAAAAGCCAACTCACGTGTCTCTCCTGCTCAGCACTGACAGGACTATGCCCAGTACCACTATCCCAAGCAGCAGCACACCCAGGGTTGCTGCAGTGCCTAGGATGTAGAACTTGCTCAGTTCCCCATGACCAGCCTTTTCCCCAGCACCTGGCCCTGTAGGATGAGAGACAACACCACAACACCACTGTGCTCTGCCCTAGGGGTGATCTCACAGTGTGCTTCACCTGCCTGAGGGGTTTGTTCTCAGAGGTGGGTGCTTCTGGCTCTGGAGGGGACAAGAAGGATCCCTCAAAGTTCTCATGGAGAAGAGCCCGTCTGTCCCTCCGGGTTGCTGTGTGTTGGGGACCCACAGTCTCCACAAGGAGACACTGCAGGGGTGCAGCAGAAATGCTCCAGTTCTCCCAAGCTGCCATCCCCCCAGCACTCACCTCCAGGACGCCCCTGAGGCTGAGCAGGTGTGCTGGCTTCTTGTACTGCCTCTCTGCCTGAGACTGGCACCCTGTTGCTGCTTCTCATCTGCAAGGCTTCCTTCTGCTCTGTCTCCATCTCTAGAAAACAACAAGGGGACAGTTTAATTAGAAGTAATCATTCCTCATCAGGAACACGGCGCCACGTCCTGGGCACTTTGGCAAGGGGCAGTGGGGAGCTTGCTGTCCCCCACAGAACAGGAAAACCAGAACTAAGCTTTCTGAAATGCAACCAGAAATGGAGAGCCTGTTGGAAATTACATAATTTTTATAATATTTAGGTTTAATATACGGTTTTAATTAAACCTTTTAATTAGGTGTTTTAGTTAATCATAAGCTGCGTTGGGCCTTAAATCACTTTTAGCCAGCATATAGCAAAAATGTTGTCATAAGCACCTTCTGTGAGAACACAGCTTGAGAAAGTACTAAAACTGTGAATTTTGTTAAACTTTGATATGCTTCAAGGAACAAAGTCTGAGAGAGAAAGATGTGTTGTTGAAGTTGGACATCTGGAATGAACTATATGGACATTTTGCAGAAACCAGCAGCTAAAGAAAAGAATTAACGAAGAATTCAATAGAAGTG